TCTGGCTTTAAGAAAAGCTTTCTAACTCTTTGTAACAAAAGTGACTTGTTAGCATAGTCGTTAAGGTGTGGAAAACTCCGCTCTTTGTGTGAACTTAAATGGCCGTCTTTTGGAATTAGGTGGCCAAATACTGGGACCTATGACCCAAAAATTACCCAGGCTGTATGGAAAATGGTTGCAGAAACCCCTGGATACCCTGAGCAGTTTCCATACAAGCACCAATGGTTGGTTTTAGTCCAATGGCCTCCCCCATGGCTAAAGCACTGCATAAAACAGGCTAAACTTCAGGTCACGTTAGCCAGCCCAAAAGAAAATCCCTTCTGAGCCAACCATTCTCCCCACCCCAGTGGAGGATCAGGAATTACTTCCACCCTACTCAAGGCCCTCTAAACCAGCGCCTCAGCACCCCCCTCGACAGTACTATTAACTAAACCTTGTCCCCCCCCCCCCGCACACCCGTAGCGGGGCCCCCGCACCCACCGGCAGTCCTCCCTTTCCAAGACGCACCCCCAACAAAAGACAATTGGGGTCGCCCATTCTTTGTTCACATCCCCTTCTTGTCAAGTAACTTATATAACTGGAAGGTGATAGAGATCAAAAAGAGGGCCAAAACACCAAGTGCGGGCACAAGCTTTAAGGGCAAGGGAAAGCTGCCGGGCTAAACCCAAAATTGGCGGCACCCATGGCATGGCAAAGGGGATTTCTATGGCCTGCAAGCCGGCAAAGATGCATCCAGTGTGAGGGGCTGTGCAGGAGGGAAGTGCTGGGGAACTGCTAAGAGTTCCCGGGAGGGGGTAGTACTGGAGAACTGCTAAGACGGCGAGAGGGGGAGGGTTAGGTACCTGCCCAGATGGAAAGTTCCCTGGGAGCGGGTAGTGCTGGGAGGCCGGGGAATTTAAGGCGGTGATGTTGTGGAGGTTTTACAATGAAACTCAACATCCCCCTTCTCTGAGAAGCCCCAGGCTTTGACAGGACTCTTAAAATCTGTATTCCAGACGCATCGCCCCACTTGGGACAACTGCCAACAATTATTACTAATTCTGTTCACCACAGAAAAAAAAGGCCAAATTAGACAGAAAGCCCTGAAAGCCATCATAGGTCCAGGGCGAGGAAAAAGATTTTTTTCCCTCTACCTGACCCCAATGGGACCTCAACACCTTGGGGGGGGGGGTCACCAGGCTCTGAACACTTTTCACCGGTATCTTATAGAAGGGGTTAGGGGAGTGGCCCACAA